ACACTACAATATATATATATATATATATATATATATATATATATATGAATTATTGATACATAAACATCTAGGTACACTATTGAAATTTTGGTAAGCTTGCATGAAGTAAAAGTTGTGTGAGAATGTTTGGTAGGATTGAGAAATGTAGAGTTTGGAAGTGTGACAGTGTTTTCATCAGATCCAGCCTTGTATGGCTACACTTTTATTTTTGGGCCTGTAAACCACTACAGCCCACCTACTGGGAAATTACTTTTCGGTTAAAGCTTCCTGCACCCACTCAAATTTCACCACTCACCCATCAAAAGCTTCCGAAAAATATTTATTCGTAAAAGAAGGAGACGAATGATTTATGAATTTTTTTTCCAGAATTGTTTATTGTGTGTTCCAAAAACCAAATTCCAGAATATATAGGAAGAAAATGTTAGGATTTTGATCCACATCCTTATAAAATTTTATATTTTAGATTGTACTATGATATAAATTTATTCTCAAATATAAAAAAAATTGTTTTGAACTAAATAATTTAAAATATAATTATATTTTAGATTATATAATGTAAAATAAAACATAAAATTTTATTTTAAATTATATATTTTAAAATATAAAAAATTACATTTTAAATTATACAAATCTAAAATACAAAAGATGCTAAAATAAGTTGCGGCCGAGTTATCATTCCTAATGGGCTGAGCGTGTTTCTCTAAAGCCCATTAGGTTGGAATCAACCACACCAATTCAATTCATGAATTATCGAAGAGATGATGAGTAAGTCCTAAAAGATACTTTGTAAAATGTCCAACAAAACCCACTTTGTATAAAGGAAAACTAACATATATTTAATCAAACTCTAACTTAAATAAATTTTGTTGTTCTAACTATTAAAATTTCTAATATATTATATATGTTTAACTGCATCGTTTATGAAACTAAGTGATGTTATGTATCCTACTTCCAATACCAGTGACATTTTTATTTGATGAATAATTTTTAATCTTTAATTTGATTGACTGTATGGTTACAACTAAGTGAATCTGAAATCTTACAACTTATCCCGATCTGCGTTTGTTGTTCATCGTCCATCTTCAAGTGGTTCCAAAATCTGGTTATGCAACCTAGAAATTGTACTGCTATAGTACCATCACCATGATCAATACTTAAATGAGAACGTGGTCTGAGAAAGCTCTCTGTCTCTTCCTGAGATGCAACATCTTTTGCTCCTCCCAGTGAATGTTTTTCAATGATCCTTATTCCCTCCAACTCCATAGCAACTTCTTTCATGCTTGGTCTTTCTTCTCCATGCAACCTAAGACACCTTTTGGCTAGATTAGCAACTTCTATCACATACTCAACACTTGCATCACTCACGATTTCCTTGTCCAATATTTGATCCAACCGACCCTCATTCATTGCAGAAACAAAATACATGGACAAATTCCTATGACTCTGAGGCCTAAGGAACGAAAGTGCCTTCTTACTTGTCAATAGTTCTGCAAGAACAACACCAAAGCTGTAAACATCACTCTTCTCGGTTAGTTGGCTTGTTTGGAAGTACTCAGGATCAAGGTAACCCATGGTTCCTTGCACCAACGTTGTTAACTGAGTTTGATCAAGAGGAACAAGCTTTGAAGCACCAAAGTCAGAAACTTTGGCCGTGAGGTTGTCATCTAGAAGTATATTTGCTGTTTTAACATCTCTATGTATGATGGGTGTGGAAACAGAAGAATGCAAGTATGCAAGAGATTCTGCTGTCTCTGCTGCAATTCTCAAACGTGTTGTCCATGAAAGTTTGTGTTTATCACCACATGCCTCACCTTCTAAATGTAGATGCTCACAAAGGGTACCGTTGGTGATGAACTCATAAACAAGCAAAGGAAACTCAGTCTCCAGACAGCAACCTAGTAGTTTGACGACATTCCTATGGTTGATTTGGGAAAGCACGACCACTTCGTTGATGAATTGGCCAATCTCGGTTTGGTTGGAAACCATGGCCTTCTTGATGGCAACAACACTGCCATTTGATAATATACCTTTGTACACCGTTCCATGTCCTCCTTTGCCTATGATTCTATCATCATCGTAGTTGTCGGTGGCTTTCTTGAGCTCCTCGGCAGTGAAAATTGTGGCTCTTTCGGTTGAGCCATTGACCAGATCAATCTGCCTTTGCAATAACATGCCACCATTTTTCTTAAAATAGTTCTCTCTGATTTTCATGAGCTTTCTTTCACGGAATTGGGGGTATATGTTTAGGCATCCCACAACCACTGCCAATAGACTTAAGCTCAAACCTGTGAACAACAGTTACATTACTCTTTTGTTTTCAGCTACTTAATTTGACTTCCAACAATATAAACTAGAAAGTAAGAAACATTGTGTGTGAATGAATGTACAAGTTTTTTACTTACTCAATCCAATTATAAGAATAAGATTCCCTGTGTTTTTGTCTCTTTTGGGTCTGCAGCCTTGGCCATTTCTCAATCCATCTCCTTCGTGGCCCTTTGGACATGAGCACTTCAAACCTTCTCCAGGGGCGTTTTTGCAGGTTTTCTTGTGGATGCATGGATTGCTGTTCAAAGCGCATTCATCCTTATCTGACCCAAACAAAATGCACTTTCGATTTCATTTTTCGTTTCATCTAGGCTTTCTATATCATATATATATAGCAAGGAATGCAACGAAGATCACAGAGCAACATTAAAATAGGACTAATCATTCGCCAAAATGAAGCATCAAGAAAAAAAAATGTGTTTTCTTTACTAAGTTATGATAAAGACTTAAACAGAGTAACTTTTACATGAAAAATACAAAAATATATTTATATACATCCTATTGCATGTTATTTATACAGAATGAAAGTAGTGTCACATTTATTCAGAATATAGTTAGCGATTGACATAGCTTCATTCCACAAATACTAAGATCATTCCTTGTCTTTTATCATTCCACATATAATTAAGTTCTTAGTGTAATTTCATTATGTTGGTATATACACGTGGAAGAGTAACTTAATGCTCAGTTCCTTATCTTTCGCAAAGGTTTTGAAATTCTATGAAACGTTGGTCATTAGTTCTCATAACTTTGTATAGCCACTATTTTGTTCCATCATCACTTTATTTTTCAAATATTTTCAACACTTCAATCCTTCTTTTCACAAAGTAAACCCATAATTTCCTATAAAAGTAGTTAATGAATGAAATAACATATATATCATTCTTTAAAAAGTCCACAGATTGAAAGCTTTACTAACCAGAAATAAAATAAACTTGTATTTTTTTATTGACAATATTAGTTGTTAGTATTTGTGAGTGAAGAAATTAAAAACAACATTCTCATATTCTCTTTCAAATCCACTAAATCAATCTTAAATCTCTCTAAATTGTGAGTGAAAAGAGTTGAATGTACAACTTTCTCCCACCTTCCCTTCCCCTTACCAACTAAGTCATCCTATAATATATTTTTAATCTTCAAATTTTACACATGAGTAATGAACGATATATTTTTATATTTATTTGACACATAATATACAAATAAAATAATCATAAAAATAAATAATTTTTTGTATTTTTTTTAAAAATATATATAAAATAAAAAAATGAATATAAGAAATTTATTTGTATTAAAGTATAATTTTTTTTACACATTTGTAAAGTTAAAATGTGATAGCAACTACAAAATATTTGTGATATATATTGACAGTTTGATTTTTTATATGAATTTGGTGTCTTAATTGAGAAATTAAGTGAATGATATAATTTAGTTCCTTACTTTGAGGACAGTATTAAAAAGGTGAGGTATAGTTCTATTATGTTAAAGATACAAGATATTTTTAGTTCTCCTAAATTTCTGAATTTGATTTTAGTATTTCTGAAAATTATGAACATATCCTTCATGTGAAATTAGTTTTATGAGAAACAACTCAAAATAAATTCTATATTTATTTTGCTTTATATTATCTTCACAATCTTTAAAAAATAAGAAAAATATAGAAAAATAGATTATTCTACACGCAAAAATTGACTACTATGGAAAATTTGTATCGAATTATTTTTCATTTCAAACACTGATTTTTAAAATTTGAAGAAGGTAGAAATGTGAAAAATAATATTATACAAATTTAATTGTTGAATTTTTCTGTTTGTTTATTGGTTCATATTCAATTGGGCTTGGACTGTTAAATAGTAGTTTTCACGGGAAATGTTTTCCTGCACCCCATTTTTTTTTCTTAAACCTCGTAGTCTTATTGAAATGACTTGGTTATGTTTGTTGAAAACCTTGCACCGCATCCTGCTGATTTCTAAATTTACATTACAGATGGTAGAATTTGAATATAAATTTACATTATAAATTTTATAATTGAGAATGTAAATTTATCTTACTAATTGTATAATTCAAAATATAATTTATATTTTAGGTTTTTTTAAAATTTATATTATGTATTGTATAATCTAATATGTAAATTTACATGATTGATTATTCAATTTGTAAGTAATTTGCATTTATTTGTCTTCCAAATTTACACGGATTATATAATTTAGAATAAATTTACATTAAAATTGTATCATCTGAAATTTAATTTGCATTTATAATTGTTTTTCAATTTTATATTACAGATTATACAATTCAAAATATAAATTTACATTACAAACTGTATAATTTAAAATGTAAATTTAGATTAGAAATTGTAAAATTCAAAATATAATTTTCATTTTGAAGTTTCTTCCAAATTTTTATTAAGGATTGTACTATAAAAATATAAATTTGCATTATTATGAATGGTGTAATTTAGAATATTCCATACAATTCAGAACATCTTTCAAAACAAAATTTGTGGAATGAATTTTCAAAAACATATTAAATACTTTTTAGATGATCGTTTTGGAACAAAGAGAGCTTCTTCTTTTTCTAGAACGAGCTCTCCCTTTTCTTCCTTTCAAATATTGTATGGAGAATGGAGATACTAAAGTGATGGCACAGCTACAACACTCATGTGATACAGTGAGAAAGATTATTTTAATCTTTTTCCGTTAATATGGAGTGTAGTTGGTAATAATGGGGTGTAGAAAGAAAAGATTGATTTGGATATCCACAAATAGCCTGTAAATATGTGAAAATAATAATTGATATATGTAAATGTTTTAATACGAAAATGCAATAAATTAGTTTTTTAGCATAACTAATATCTATAAAAGGGAAACTGTAGTTAGGAACATCCAAGAGCTCTAACAACACCCTATTGAAGAACACCCTACATTAAAACATCTAACAGAGTTTGACCTGGTTTTATTGGTTGTTGTTGAAACTTTGGATCTGGGTTCGGTTGGTGAGGAGCAGGAGAAATTAGAGAGAAAAACACGAGAGACCTGAATCTCATTTATTATTTAATTACTAACATGGAAGTGGGCTCCATTCTATTCACACCATTCTACATTTAAAAATCAATATCCTAACATCATAAGCTTATTACTTTTCTTCGTAACATCATAAAGTTACTACTTTTCTTTATTAACTATGATTACTATCACCTAAAAAAAGGTGACAAAAGAGTGAATTTAATGTATTAACAGTACTGGTCACCCATTTTCCAAATCATATTTATTTGCAGTTGGCACAGAAAACAAAAATTCAAACCTACATAAAGAAAAACCATAAGAATGACATACTGATACAGATAATAGATTGGATACATGAAAATCTGAGGATTTCAAATGATTGTTTTCAGTCTTAGATTAAGCCATAGACTTCAACTGAACAAGCAGATCTATGATGAACTTGTTCTGAACTTCCTTATCAGATAAAAACTTGCCCCATTTCATGTGGTTTTCTCTTATGTGTTTCCCCGGCTCTTTGTCGTCTTCTGACATTATAGTTTTCAATGCCTTTAGTACATCGTCTTTGTGAAAGTACCCATCTTCTTCCCTCCTATTTACTTCTACTCCTGCCTCCAAATCCTTGGCAACAAGCTTGGAGTTGAAAAACTGATCACCCTTGAAAGGCAACAGCACAAGTTGACACTCATTCACCATGGCTTCTATCACAGAACTGAACCCTGCATGACATACATAGCAGCCAACACTAGAGTGTTTCAGCACAAGTTGCTGCTGAAACCAACCAGTGTGCACCACTCCCCTATCCTTCACTCTTTCCAAGAACCCTTTTGGCAGTGTTCTCTTCAACTCAGATTCAGCAGAAAGATCAGATGGGAAATTTAGAACCAAAATGAAAGGTAAGCCGCTGAGTTCCAATCCACTGGCTAGTTCTTTGATCTGATCATCATTCAGAAAAGTCTCACTACCAAATGAGCATAATATGACAGATTTGGCGGGGAAAGTGTCTAACCATTTGGACCACCTTTCCTCAAGCACATCCCTTGATGGCTCAGGGACAAGTTGACCATATAGCAAAACTGGTTTTCTAAATTGCTTTTCTATTTACTCTAAATATGGTCCTTCTATTTCCTTGCAAGTTTTAAACACTATGAATGAACACTCACCAAGGCTTTGCATGACTCGCTCATAACCAGTGAGGTTCTCACCAAACCTGTTAAAGAGGAACATGAAGTCCATGGCCTCAAAGGCCTTGAGGGAAACATCGGAGTTTTGAGGATACCCAGGTGGAGGGNTTCGAAATGTAGATGCTCACAAAGGGTACCGTTGGTGATGAACTCATAAACAAGCAAAGGAAACTCAGTCTCCAGACAGCAACCTAGTAGTTTGACGACATTCCTATGGTTGATTTGGGAAAGCACGACCACTTCGTTGATGAATTGGCCAATCTCGGTTTGGTTGGAAACCATGGCCTTCTTGATGGCAACAACACTGCCATTTGATAATATACCTTTGTACACCGTTCCATGTCCTCCTTTGCCTATGATTCTATCATCATCGTAGTTGTCGGTGGCTTTCTTGAGCTCCTCGGCAGTGAAAATTGTGGCTCTTTCGGTTGAGCCATTGACCAGATCAATCTGCCTTTGCAATAACATGCCACCATTTTTCTTAAAATAGTTCTCTCTGATTTTCATGAGCTTTCTTTCACGGAATTGGGGGTATATGTTTAGGCATCCCACAACCACTGCCAATAGACTTAAGCTCAAACCTGTGAACAACAGTTACATTACTCTTTTGTTTTCAGCTACTTAATTTGACTTCCAACAATATAAACTAGAAAGTAAGAAACATTGTGTGTGAATGAATGTACAAGTTTTTTACTTACTCAATCCAATTATAAGAATAAGATTCCCTGTGTTTTTGTCTCTTTTGGGTCTGCAGCCTTGGCCATTTCTCAATCCATCTCCTTCGTGGCCCTTTGGACATGAGCACTTCAAACCTTCTCCAGGGGCGTTTTTGCAGGTTTTCTTGTGGATGCATGGATTGCTGTTCAAAGCGCATTCATCCTTATCTGACCCAAACAAAATGCACTTTCGATTTCATTTTTCGTTTCATCTAGGCTTTCTATATCATATATATATAGCAAGGAATGCAACGAAGATCACAGAGCAACATTAAAATAGGACTAATCATTCGCCAAAATGAAGCATCAAGAAAAAAAAATGTGTTTTCTTTACTAAGTTATGATAAAGACTTAAACAGAGTAACTTTTACATGAAAAATACAAAAATATATTTATATACATCCTATTGCATGTTATTTATACAGAATGAAAGTAGTGTCACATTTATTCAGAATATAGTTAGCGATTGACATAGCTTCATTCCACAAATACTAAGATCATTCCTTGTCTTTTATCATTCCACATATAATTAAGTTCTTAGTGTAATTTCATTATGTTGGTATATACACGTGGAAGAGTAACTTAATGCTCAGTTCCTTATCTTTCGCAAAGGTTTTGAAATTCTATGAAACGTTGGTCATTAGTTCTCATAACTTTGTATAGCCACTATTTTGTTCCATCATCACTTTATTTTTCAAATATTTTCAACACTTCAATCCTTCTTTTCACAAAGTAAACCCATAATTTCCTATAAAAGTAGTTAATGAATGAAATAACATATATATCATTCTTTAAAAAGTCCACAGATTGAAAGCTTTACTAACCAGAAATAAAATAAACTTGTATTTTTTTATTGACAATATTAGTTGTTAGTATTTGTGAGTGAAGAAATTAAAAACAACATTCTCATATTCTCTTTCAAATCCACTAAATCAATCTTAAATCTCTCTAAATTGTGAGTGAAAAGAGTTGAATGTACAACTTTCTCCCACCTTCCCTTCCCCTTACCAACTAAGTCATCCTATAATATATTTTTAATCTTCAAATTTTACACATGAGTAATGAACGATATATTTTTATATTTATTTGACACATAATATACAAATAAAATAATCATAAAAATAAATAATTTTTTGTATTTTTTTTAAAAATATATATAAAATAAAAAAATGAATATAAGAAATTTATTTGTATTAAAGTATAATTTTTTTTACACATTTGTAAAGTTAAAATGTGATAGCAACTACAAAATATTTGTGATATATATTGACAGTTTGATTTTTTATATGAATTTGGTGTCTTAATTGAGAAATTAAGTGAATGATATAATTTAGTTCCTTACTTTGAGGACAGTATTAAAAAGGTGAGGTATAGTTCTATTATGTTAAAGATACAAGATATTTTTAGTTCTCCTAAATTTCTGAATTTGATTTTAGTATTTCTGAAAATTATGAACATATCCTTCATGTGAAATTAGTTTTATGAGAAACAACTCAAAATAAATTCTATATTTATTTTGCTTTATATTATCTTCACAATCTTTAAAAAATAAGAAAAATATAGAAAAATAGATTATTCTACACGCAAAAATTGACTACTATGGAAAATTTGTATCGAATTATTTTTCATTTCAAACACTGATTTTTAAAATTTGAAGAAGGTAGAAATGTGAAAAATAATATTATACAAATTTAATTGTTGAATTTTTCTGTTTGTTTATTGGTTCATATTCAATTGGGCTTGGACTGTTAAATAGTAGTTTTCACGGGAAATGTTTTCCTGCACCCCATTTTTTTTTCTTAAACCTCGTAGTCTTATTGAAATGACTTGGTTATGTTTGTTGAAAACCTTGCACCGCATCCTGCTGATTTCTAAATTTACATTACAGATGGTAGAATTTGAATATAAATTTACATTATAAATTTTATAATTGAGAATGTAAATTTATCTTACTAATTGTATAATTCAAAATATAATTTATATTTTAGGTTTTTTTAAAATTTATATTATGTATTGTATAATCTAAAATGTAAATTTACATGATTGATTATTCAATTTGTAAGTAATTTGCATTTATTTGTCTTCCAAATTTACACGGATTATATAATTTAGAATAAATTTACATTAAAATTGTATCATCTGAAATTTAATTTGCATTTATAATTGTTTTTCAATTTTATATTACAGATTATACAATTCAAAATATAAATTTACATTACAAACTGTATAATTTAAAATGTAAATTTAGATTAGAAATTGTAAAATTCAAAATATAATTTTCATTTTGAAGTTTCTTCCAAATTTTTATTAAGGATTGTACTATAAAAATATAAATTTGCATTATTATGAATGGTGTAATTTAGAATATTCCATACAATTCAGAACATCTTTCAAAACAAAATTTGTGGAATGAATTTTCAAAAACATATTAAATACTTTTTAGATGATCGTTTTGGAACAAAGAGAGCTTCTTCTTTTTCTAGAACGAGCTCTCCCTTTTCTTCCTTTCAAATATTGTATGGAGAATGGAGATACTAAAGTGATGGCACAGCTACAACACTCATGTGATACAGTGAGAAAGATTATTTTAATCTTTTTCCGTTAATATGGAGTGTAGTTGGTAATAATGGGGTGTAGAAAGAAAAGATTGATTTGGATATCCACAAATAGCCTGTAAATATGTGAAAATAATAATTGATATATGTAAATGTTTTAATACGAAAATGCAATAAATTAGTTTTTTAGCATAACTAATATCTATAAAAGGGAAACTGTAGTTAGGAACATCCAAGAGCTCTAACAACACCCTATTGAAGAACACCCTACATTAAAACATCTAACAGAGTTTGACCTGGTTTTATTGGTTGTTGTTGAAACTTTGGATCTGGGTTCGGTTGGTGAGGAGCAGGAGAAATTAGAGAGAAAAACACGAGAGACCTGAATCTCATTTATTATTTAATTACTAACATGGAAGTGGGCTCCATTCTATTCACACCATTCTACATTTAAAAATCAATATCCTAACATCATAAGCTTATTACTTTTCTTCGTAACATCATAAAGTTACTACTTTTCTTTATTAACTATGATTACTATCACCTAAAAAAAGGTGACAAAAGAGTGAATTTAATGTATTAACAGTACTGGTCACCCATTTTCCAAATCATATTTATTTGCAGTTGGCACAGAAAACAAAAATTCAAACCTACATAAAGAAAAACCATAAGAATGACATACTGATACAGATAATAGATTGGATACATGAAAATCTGAGGATTTCAAATGATTGTTTTCAGTCTTAGATTAAGCCATAGACTTCAACTGAACAAGCAGATCTATGATGAACTTGTTCTGAACTTCCTTATCAGATAAAAACTTGCCCCATTTCATGTGGTTTTCTCTTATGTGTTTCCCCGGCTCTTTGTCGTCTTCTGACATTATAGTTTTCAATGCCTTTAGTACATCGTCTTTGTGAAAGTACCCATCTTCTTCCCTCCTATTTACTTCTACTCCTGCCTCCAAATCCTTGGCAACAAGCTTGGAGTTGAAAAACTGATCACCCTTGAAAGGCAACAGCACAAGTTGACACTCATTCACCATGGCTTCTATCACAGAACTGAACCCTGCATGACATACATAGCAGCCAACACTAGAGTGTTTCAGCACAAGTTGCTGCTGAAACCAACCAGTGTGCACCACTCCCCTATTCTTCACTCTTTCCAAGAACCCTTTTGGCAGTGTTCTCTTCAACTCAGATTCAGCAGAAAGATCAGATGGGAAATTTAGAACCAAAATGAAAGGTAAGCCGCTGAGTTCCAATCCACTGGCTAGTTCTTTGATCTGATCATCATTCAGAAAAGTCTCACTACCAAATGAGCATAATATGACAGATTTGGCGGGGAAAGTGTCTAACCATTTGGACCACCTTTCCTCAAGCACATCCCTTGATGGCTCAGGGACAAGTGGACCACATAGCAAAACTGGTTTTCTAAATTGCTTTTCTATGTACTCTAAATAGGGACCTTCAAATTCCTTGCAAGTTTTAAACACTATGAAGGAACACTCACCAAGGCTTTGCAAGACTCGCTCATAACCAGTGAGGTTCTCACCAAACCTGTTAAAGAGGAACATGAAGTCCATGGCCTCAAAGGCCTTGAGGGAAACATCGGAGTTTTGAGGATACCCAGGTGGAGGGGTTTTAAGATCCTCAAAAGTGATGTTTCTTCCCTCGACATTGGAGAATCTGGAAGGCACGGTAATGTAAGAATCAGAAATGGCAGAGTAGACAGAGAAATGAACGGATTTGATGCCGAGTTCAGAAGCGATTTTTGGGAGCCAGTGTTGTGCAAAGTCGAAGAAAATGTAGTGGGGTTTGAGTTCCAACAGAAGAGACTTCACCTGAGGCTGAGTAAGGTCGATGGCATGTACAAGATTTGCAGCCAAGTGAGGAGGCAAATCAGCAGTGCTGCTTACCCCATTTGGAAACTGCAGTGAGATAATATTGATGGCTGGATCGAGATTAAGGGTTGATCTGATTCTGGAAATGTTGGACTCAGCTGACAAGAAAGTGATACGAACACCATGAGAGAATAACTTGTTGGATAACTGAACAAAAGGGCTTATGTGACCAAATGCAAGAAATGGGAACATGACAACATGAAGGTGGTCGTGGTTGACAAATTGAGTAGACATGTTTGTGTTGTGTTCTTCACTGGTACTGAGTAAATTGATGAGGTTATAGCTGTTACATGCTTGATTTGGTATATTTATTGATGACTCTGCTATGTTTGGTTTGAGGATCCACCCCATGGGTAGTTGAAACATGTGGTTCTAATAATTCTGCAAACGTTTACTATTAGGCTATCCTCATCCGCAACCGTTAGTTCACTTCTAATTCTACCTTTTCTCTTCTCACCGATTGAGAATAAGAATTTATATAAAATATACTATTCAATGTATTATCATGCTTTCAAATTAAAATAAAAAGGTAGAAAAATTAGAAATAATTGGACATGAAATCTACAATTTGTTAATGCCAAAACTGAGGTCCATGCAATCCTTGTTAGATAAACTTAAAATTAAAGAGATTAAAATTGGGATTTCTGGTGCATTTGATTACTGCTGTGTATTAAAGTTTGTCACAGCATTCTTTATTTTTCGTTTTTTAGTCTTTGATAATAGTTTAGTAACTGTTTTTATTTGTTTGAGTCAGTATTATTTGCTGAGAGTTATTATTTCATAGTTAGGTGTTATTTTGTATAAACATGTGATCCTTTGGCCCATTTGTGTGGCTATTTAAAGTCATCACCGTGGCAAAATTTACTTCATCAGTTTTCACGTAATACATAAAGAGAGTAAGTACAGTGGTTTTTTTTTATTTTCATAGCATTCTGTTTTTTTTCAACAATCCTATCACCACCGTTGACCACAACAGTGGTTTGTGTGTTGAACTCGTTAGACTTACTATAATCATTTGACAGCATCAACATTACAAATAACAAAACCAACACTTTTTTTTATTATTTCAAAATATGATAAAATTAAAAATATAAAAATATAAACTTTCTTTAAGAAAATTTGACATTAATTAAAATAAAATCAATATAAAAATGAATGCATATTTTATCATGTTAATTTTGTAAGAAAGAATAATAGATACAAATTTCTTACTATTAGTTTCGAAATAAAATTCGTCTATATCTTTCCCGTATTTAAAGAAGTTTAAAGTTTATACGTTATAAACTTATGTTCCAAGCGTCTCATACCCAATTTAATAATGGCAACCACCAAATTCACGCACACCCGTCAAAAATTTTCAGTTTTTACTCGTCATCTTATTCTTCTCCATCTTCTTGCATTAAAATGTATCAAATGTTTTCACCGACTACTACACTTATAATAAAAAAAAAATTCTATTTATATATAATATTCAATGATAATTTTTTTTATTCAAGTGGATCTTCATATCACATAGTTCAAGCAATGAAATTGTTTAGAAGGTACATTCGTTCTGTATTTTCGTATATTTTTATTTTTACATTGTAAAATAATTTATTTATTTTTATATTTTCTTTTTCTCTTTCACTGTATCCTTCCCTCTCCTTATCAGTTTCTTCTTTCTTTACTACCCTCATCTCCACTCACCATCTTTTTCTTTATCTTACTCTTCTCCCTCTATTCTTTACTTTCTTCTTTTTTAAAAATATACAATTTAAAATGAATAACACGTGAAGTTGAATTGCTCTTTGACAAAGGAGGTGAATAACACATGAAACTTTTCTTTCTATCACAAAACTAAGACTTTTACTTGTAATTAACTGGCTGGCCAACTTGGGAATCCAAATGGGAAAACTTTCAAAAGGACATCTTAATACTACTTTCGAAAGGACATACCCTTCCACCCACTTTAATTACCCATCTCACTCGCAAGATAAAATCTCATTCAAATCACACTCAAACATGACATGTGAACTACAAAATAGATTCCATATGCACATATGCCATGAAAAAAAAAAGACAAAATACGATACTTTCATTCAATTTTGTTTGCAAATTACATAATAGGATCTCAATCTGAAAAATCTTTAAAATCATGCCATTGAATAAAATTTACCACGTCCTTCCTAATTTTCCATTTGGCACAACACCAAGTGCCTAGTTGAATAATATAAGAAAAAAACTATTATTACCTTAAAAGTTTCTTTCAGACAACTCATGTGTTTTCCACCGTTCCATCCTATGTCATTGCTAGAGTCTGGATGACTATCTTTCCTCGATTTAGGAATAATATTAGCTTTCTTCAAGATGGATTCTGTTAAGATCTGAATTTTAAGTCTAACCCAACCTTACAAAACTAAAAACAACATACTAATCAAATTATGTGTTAAATATGAGTCCTATTATTGTTGTCAAAAGGAGTCACACTAAAGGAGAAGTAGAGAGACATTAAATCAACAATTGATCACTTCATAATTTTTGGTTGTCTGAAGATCTTTCGGAACCTGAAGATGAAATGCAAAATATGCTGATGTTCATGAATAATACAACTCTAGTAGATTTTGATGAAGTTACAAGACATTCCAAGTGGAGGAGTAAAATGGAGGCAAAGATTGATGCAATAGAAAGAAATCAAACATGAGAGCTAACAAATCTACTTGTTGGAATGAGAAAGATTGAGGTCAAATGAGTGTTTAAAACAAAGTTGAATAGACAAGTGTAAAGCCCAATTGGTAGTAAGGAGGTATGCACAACAATTTGGTATTAATTACAATGAAGTTTATGCACATGTGGCAAAGTGGGATACCATTCGCGCCATCATTGCACTTGTAGCTCAAAATAATTGGCCCATATACCAACTTGATGTGAAAAATGTGTTTTTGTATAGAGATTTGAGTGAATCAGTATATGTAGAGCAACCACCTGATTTTGTGAAGGTAGGGGAGGATGAGAAATTTTATAAACTCAAGAAAGCGCTATTTGGGATCAAACAAGCTCCAAGGACATGGTATAACAAGATAGAAGGCCATTTTCTCAATGGAGGCTTTGAGAAGTGTGACTTTGAACATGTCTTGTTCCTAAAAACCAAAGAAGGTTAGTTATTTATTATTATTTTGTATGTGAATGATCTATTTTTTACTAGAAAGTGTGAGAAAATGACGATTCACTTTAAAGAGTCAATGAAGTGTTAGTTTGATATGATGAGTGACCTTAGAAATAAAAGTGTTGCAGTCCTATGAAGGGATTTACATTTATCAAAGTAAATTTACTAGAAAAGTCCTTGAAAGATTTGGTATAAGAATGGAACAAAGCCCACAAAAGACAATGATGGAATGAGGGTTGATGCAACAAAATACAAGTAGATGGTTGGTTACAAGACCATACTTAGATGTATGTAATATGTTTAGCAAGCAGGTTCATGGCTGATCCTACATAATTTCATAAACATATTGTAAAGAGAAATTGGAGATATGTTAAAGGACCAATGAAAGTTGAAACTCTTTATAAATTCAAAAGTGAATTGGAACTGCTAGCTTACACAAACAATGACTACACATGAGATTTGGAGAGGACTGTAAAAATACATCCGGTTACATGTTCTTTTTGAGTGGTGGAGCTACACATTGAAGTTTCAAAAAGTAACCGATGGTCACATTGTCAACCATAGAAGCAGAATATATAATAACTTATTGTGCAACTCAAGGCATTTGGTTAAGAAGAAGGCATTTGATTAAGAAGAACTATTGACAAACTTAGTCAGACCAAAGATAAAGGTATTACAATCTATTGCGACAATAGTTCCAACATTAAATTGTCAAATAATCAACTTTTTCATGGGCGAAGTAAACATATTGATATCCCATTTTGTTTCTTATGCAATCTCAATAATGATGATAAGGTGAAACTAGTATATTATAATTTTTTTGATCAAGTAGGAGACATAATGACCAAATCACTCAAACTAGATACATGAAACTAAGAGAATTACTAAGAATTTGCAAGGTTTCTAATTTAAATAGATTATATCATAATCAAATTTAGGAAAGGATATGTTAGGATAAGTTAAATTTGTTTTGTTTGTATTAATAAAGTCTTGCATCTAGTGGCTCTATGTTTTAAGGCTTGTTTACATCTTTTATGTTTTAAGGCTGGTTTACATCTTTTATGTTTTAAGGCTTGTTTACATCTTTTATGTTTTAAGGCTGGTTTACATCTTTTATGTTTTAAGGCTTGTTTACATCTTTTATGTTTCTAGGCTTGTTTAAAGTAATTTATGTTTCTGGATTTACTTGTAAAAGACTTATATAATTCTTCTTATGTTAATAAATTTTGTAAGCTTTTCCTTTAAATCTTAGTTTTTCCTTGCATCTTAGTTTGGTTGTCAACAATTTTCAATCCTGTTTTGGTTTCTACAGTCATGTTGGCTTTCTGAACCTAGGACTCTTGGTCTCGGGTGGATTTGGTGTGATGGATATCTTTGTTTGGACGTGAACCTACGAATATGTCATTGGAAAGTTGATCAATTGGACAACATTTTTAGTTCTTCTAAACTTCTGAATTTGATTTTATTATAAAAATTATAAACATATATTTCATGTCAAGTTAATTTTATAAGAAACTATTCAAAATAAATCCTATATTTATTTATTTTTATATTATTTTCACTTCTATTTATATTAAAAGATGAAGCAAAATATAGAAAAAATTAAAATAAAATTATTCTCCAAGCGAAAATTGACTACTACCGAAAATTTCAAAGGAATTGTTTTTTTACACTTTTTCTCGTTCACGTTCTTCTTTGTTCTGACAATTAATTTCTGATTTTTTTTTTCATTTCAAAAATTGATTTTTAAAATGTAAAAGAGGGTAAAAATGTGAAAAATAAAATAATGCAAATTTAATTTGTTGAATTTCTCTCTTTATTTATTGGTTCATATTTTAATTGGGCCTGGACTGTTAAATATTTTAATTCTGCACTTCCATAATTTAAATATGCACCTCCGTAGGTCTGAAAATTCCAATTTTACCGTGTAATATTTAGGATTTACGGTTTCAGTTTCAAATTTTGTAATTGGGAGATGTTTCAAATTACGAGACTATGAAATGTTAAATATCAATATATTTTACATTATGAAATATAATGTTGTATTCTGAATTGTTGACTTTGACAAAATTCTCGTAAGAGGAATTACACTTGCAAAGGAGAAAATCACCCCAAGAAATCGAACCTGGTTCACGAACTTGCAAAGGGGATGCACTAGTGTAGGAAGAATTACTAAGCACGTAAGATAAAGACAAATTGATCATTTCCTCTGACGATGACAAATATATATGTTT